GGCTAGTCTTCGATTTTGCCAATGGCTTTAAGTATGTACCAAGACACCAATTTACAAAGAACCAATAACTACTAAGTGTTGCTAAGGTAGAGGAATAGATCAGTGGGTCATCACCAAATCAATAGGTGACCCAACACAAATCTACTTCCAAAGGGTATGTTCTAATTTCAGGTTTTTGAGGAATGTAACACAATCTTTTAGGGATTTTTGTGTCTAATGTTTCGAGATTCTGCAGTTGATTTCCATTATTTCTCTGTTTATTTCAATTTCTCACTTGAATCAGTGTGGTTTTATAGATGGGTATGTAACCAGTTTGTTCTCTGCTGATAAGGAGTGCTTGGCAGTTTATAACTTATGTTGGTCTTATGCATGATTCTCCTTCATGGTTGTTGTTTAAAAATCGTCTTGTATGCAATTGCTTTTGACCAAACTGTTGATTTTATCAATAATCTCATCGATCTTCATTATGATTGCAATTTTGGGGTTTTGAATAGTCTTAGCTTGTTGTCCTGTTTGCTTTATAATGATTATTTTGGTTCTGTTCATAAGTGGATGTTCCTATTTTACAGGGTTGGAGTGATATGCATATGGTCGGTAATGGCAACAGGTGGTTGAGGATGGCTTTAGACAGGTGGATGGTTGTGTACAATGGAGTTATATTTTTGTTATGAGTTATAAATAATGTGAAGTCAACAGGTAACATGAAGTGCATGTTAAACCAAAACATACTCCACTCTTTTCATGTTAAATGCTAACTATTATTTTCTTGACTTATTTTTTTGTAGCATAAGACTTCTTCTAATGCAATGATTGATATAAATGGTAACGATTTTAAGTTTATTTGTTAACTTCTTTGTAGGTTCTTAATTTATGTTTCATTCCTGATACTTTTTTTTCTTAATCTCAACAAAGGATAGGTATGGTTTGGAAATCTATTGCGATGTAAGGTGCACGTGTCCAGGTTTTGGTGGACGGTTGTGTAGCGAGAAAAGGGTGTTGTCTTAGCAAAAAGATTTTAGCATAGAGTAACTGATGCCATCAAATCTTCTATGATGATAAGTTTCTCAATTTAATTTGTTTAGTCTATGCTTCTCATTGTGTTCACTTTGAAAAAAAGATATACTCGAATTTGATCTGTTTGGTTGTGTTTTGTTTCTACTGGTTTTCTGCAAAAAAACGTCGTTATGCTATTAGATTAGCACCTGTGTTGGTTGATAAACAATTCATGTTGAACCACCATCAACAACACTCTATTTCTTCTCAATCCTCTGGTTTTGCATCTTTGTTATCAGAAGACTTATCCAACCTAATCCATCAACAAGAGCATCAAGTAAGAATTCATTAAACAAATTGAAACATATGGATTTGCTTTTTGGCAATTTGATAGCTAAAATTGGGTTTCTTGTAGGAAGAAGAGCTTAGGTGTAAATTAGCAGAAAAGAAGCAACAACACTATTTTGTGCTGATCGGGGCGGCAAAGGATTCGGCGTCACAAATGATAAAGGGACAAGGAGGTGAAGGCAGAGAAATTCGTTTTGTGCAAGCCGATCTGGAGGCTCGGGCATGGCAGGCAAAGGCGAGGGCGAAGGAAGCAGTTGCGGCAGCGCTACAAGCGCAGCTGCAGCAAGGCATCATTACCATTTTAAACGCTATGTATAACGATTCTCAGAAATTTCAAGTTTTAACTGATAAAGCTTTTTGAAAGCTCGATGATTGTTGACTGCTTGTTCTTGTGGGATGATTTGTTTTTAAACTTTTAGGTGTTA